GCGTCGCGGGGTGGGAGAGGAAAGACGTCGGAACCTGTTTTTTCTGTGGGTACATAGTGCGTGACGTCTGTTATCACCGTGGACATCTCGGTACCACTTTTATAGTCAAGGAACGGTGACTAATTTCGTCGGTACACAGCTGCCTCCTTGACGCGCACTTCTTTCCAGTCAACATCACTCCCTCTCCTCCAGCCATCACGTTCACAGGATTATGAAGAGGTGATTTACTGCCAATAATGGGCATCATACACAGCGCAACTTCGCACAAACCAGGGCCCTACCACACCTCATAAGACGGATTTCGCGTAGAACATGCTTGGCATCAACGACGTGTTGGGCCATGGGGTGGATCTTCTTGATGGCAACCTTCTTTCCCTGTCATTGCACAAACGGTTGCGTGTTCAAACGAGAGCGGCGTTGACGGAAAGTTGAGCAAACAAAAGACCAGTAAAAGGATACTTTGCATCGTTCACATGTGTACTGTGGAGTACGAGCGGCGGATTGTGTTTGTGTACTGTGTGCACCTAAGTTGAGTACGAGCGAGCGTACGAGCGGCGGAATGGGTTCATATCTGAAAAAATCATCGCCGAGTGGGAGAAAGAAACAACCCAGCTCAAGAGTAAAAGACAAGTGATCCAGATGAGTGGATTGACTCTTACCCTTGGTGCGTCACGAAGGGTTTTCTCGCATACGAACTAGTGTCGTACAGGCAACCGAGCTTGGACACATCACAGGTTGTGGATTCGATTCTCGCCGAAGCATGAGTTTCTCTCACGTTTCGAGGTTGTATCACCTTACTGCAGTGATTGATCCATTTTCTTTATGGCAAACAATGACGGCATGTTTTGACCCCGGACGACAACCCTCTTCCGTTGGAAAAACATCACACTGAGACCGACGGGTAAGAAAAACTCAATAGATACATCATGGTTCTAATCAAGGCAACGCATGTAGGAAATCTACTATCGTAACAACCCCGTTTTTTGTGTTCACCTGCTGTACATGCACGGATACACGGGACGGACAGTGCACGAATGGGGTCATGTAGAACAAGAAAAATTACTTCATTACAGACTGCCGATTCTTTCATGCACCAGGCAGGATTCTTGCCTCTGAGAACTTATCTTCTATTTTGTCACGTTGGTCCATTTTGGGATTGATATTGTTTCCTTCACACTGCCAGTTTCTTCCACTGATAAAAGTGGTCGGCGCGTACCATCCATACTCTGCTGTAGACGTCCCAAGATCAATTTCGGTTGTCTACAGCAGTACACACGCCATCGTGTACGAATCATACACATTCCAAAGATCGGTGAGAGTACTGTCCGGTTTTTTGTACCTTATTTGGGCGGCTTGATTGTGTCTGTTGTTCAATGTACCCTATTTGCGGAACGGCAGCACATCGATAAAGTCAACCTGTGACCAAAAGGCGCGTGACTCGGATGTTGGAAGGTACTGAGCAAAGATCGGAACGGTTGCTGAAGTAAAGACAAATATCAACAACAATGCAGGCGGTGTCCACGGAAATTGGAGGGTTTTCCTTGCTTGGACGAGTTCAGCAGTCACCACCGCAGGAGGTACTGAGGAGCAGCCGAGGAGAGATCGGAACGGTTTTTTTATGTAGTGACGGCAACCGCATCAGCAACAACAACTGTAGTAACAACCATGGTAGCGGACAGCATGCGGTATACAGCAGTAGAACCACGCCACCGTACAGATTGCCTTCGCACACGAGTTACCTGCTTCTCATCTAACGCCGAGCAGACGAAGCCAAAAGATCCTTTCCCAATGGCCTTGAGACCGCTGTACCGCGAGTCGACCCTGAACGTGTTGTTCATGATGGAATACGATGATTCCGCCAGGGGTCCTTCCCCACCAGCCCCGCCTTGTACCGCGATAGAGTCTCCTCTGTTGCCGCCAGATCCGCCTCCTCCCTCCTCCTCCTCCTGCTGATGCTGTGGCAATGCCACCGCCGTCGCCGCTCTACCTCGGCTGACCATTCTGCTGCTGCTGCGCTACTTCGCCTTCGCGAGGGAGACTGGAAGACAGAATATGGAGTGTGGTGTGCGGCACATGCGGCGGGACTTGGAGGAAGTGATGGGCAGGTGGCAACGCAGCAGTGCTGCCTGTACAAACGGTTAGACATGGATTGCGTTTACTTCCACGCACGCACCCGAGCTTACTTCACAGCCTCGGGCATGCACACGCAACCGACTCATACGTACGGGAGGAGGAGAGCCGGCGTGGAGAAACAGCACCAACAGCTGGCCGATCCTGCAAAACCCGACAACCACGTGCGTGCGTGCGTGGGTTGCGCCGCACCTACAGCCGCTGTCTGTGGGTGATCTTGGATCCTGGATCCGATCCGATGGTGGTCCACGCGTGCGGCTGTGCCCCCGTGCCGATGTCCCCCTCCCTGCTCTCGAGCGGCCAGAGTGGTGAGGATTGAAACAGCCCACGAGGCACGTATTGCAGAGTCAGTGTCTGTCAATTTTGCTTTCGCCAGACAAGAGGTGGGTGTGGTTGTTTGTTGGCCAATTGGTGTGCGCCCCACACGCGCGCGCAGTCGTGCAGTCGTGCTTGAGAAAACATTTGCCCCGCCAAAAAACGCGGTGGTCTCGATTGGGAGGAGAACCGATCGTCACGTCGCATTCATTCTTCAAGTGCAAATTGAACCACAACGGGTAATGTTCGCAGCCCCGCTTGGCTGGTGCGAGTCATCCGGATTCTTCGTGGCCAGCTGACGCACGCGCACACAACAACCCGCCGTCCAGGAAGAATCCCGCGGGCGAAGCGACGGCTGGTACCAAAGAAACCTGCTTGCTCTTCGACCAGGGAGCAGGATCCAGCCAGCAAAGGTGCGGCCTCACATTAGTATTCCGCGTGAACTAACCAAACGACACGTGGGAGTTTTCAGACACACCTGCAGCATGCAATGATGTACACACACAGGATGGCCTCTTCGTTTCTGTTGCTGCTTCTCGATGTAGGCAGGAGACTCCGGTACTGCTGCGGCGGTGGATCCACGGCAAGTGAGGCACGTGGGTGATTGGCATCGATCTTGAGGTATCCTTCCGGGCATATACAAACCTCTCTACACACAGCGAGCGCAGCTAGCAGTCATCAATGCGTGTTCTTATGCTCAACAGCCTTCGATGTGTTTCACACGATGCGTTGTTTTCGTCGGCGTGGAAGGCACCCTTTCTTCGTCTATTTTACACATCATAGAAGGTGCACTGTCTTGCCTACATGTGCACCACCACTGACGCAGGACCTTTCTCTGCCTGTACCACAGACACGATCCCTACCTCTCGTTTGTGAGTACAGGAGGTCTCTTGCATCCTTTTTAGCTTTCGGTTGGGATCGCCTGGACGGTAAACAGGCCGTGTCGACTACACGTGTAGGAACTTGACGGATATTTGTCTGCGGCGAACCAAAAGAGAGTCAGTCGGGGAGACCAGGTTGAAGTGCGGCAACGCATATCAGTATGTCGTAGTCTACTGTTGTGGACAGTAGCTCCCGCCCAGCACGGCTACATATGCCGATGCCGAAATTTCAGCCTTCGTTCACCGCGAGGTCCGACCGGGACCTTTATCGCCCAATAGTTTGAATTTTGGATTCAGACAGGCGAGAATACCCGCTCATGGAAGTCTCCTTCTGTGCCGCTCATCACCCAGTGATCGAAAGGCGTTCCACCCGACTCGACGGGGTTTAGGCTTAGTCCCCTTTCGGGCTTATGATGTGCTCCACGCGCGTTTGCTGTTCTTAAACTCTCTTTTGTTCTCCTCTCCGCCTTCTCCCACCAAGGAGCAATAGCTAATCATATCCCACCTCCCTCCTCAAGGCGGTGTATTTACCCGATGATGTTTCGTGGCGGAGTCACTCTGACTTCGTTCTTTACCTCCTCCTTGAGGATTGTCTCTTGAACGCAAGCGCTCCATACTCTTGCATGTGTGCGCACGATCGCGAAGGTACACACACGCAAGTTCGCGGAAGCAAAAATTATGACAGCAGCCAGGAGACGCCTTGTGTGTTTGCAATATTTCTCAAGATGACATAATCGCTGCAATCGAATGGAAGTCGTCAAGGGTTGCAAACATCCGCAGACAAGATATATCCCCCACACCAATTTTCGCTCATTCTCGGGTACAGGAAGCGTGTGTGTGTACCATGAAAAGGTTCTAGCCGAGAGAGGATAGCAGTTGGATGTGTCAGACCGACGTTATTGACTGCGACCAGAGCAACACGGGCGGGGTACTTCATGCAAGAGAGAGACTGGAAAACGAGCGGGATGGTAACAATGATGTGGGACGGGATGACAAAATCACGGACGGGATCAAACTGAGGATGTACTGGCTGTGTCTACCGTCCTGCGAGGGAGAGTAGGCCCCGTCCCGTCGCGTTCTGACGCATGCCGTTCAGTCCTACTTTAGACCCCGCTTATTACAAATGGGCAACAACGAAAGAGCAATGAACCGATCATCCCCGTAATCAGCGGCCAATCGCTTGGGCTGATACACATACCCTTATATGACACAGGTAGTCAGTTTTTGGGTTTTTGGAGGACAAGTGCAATGGAGTAGATGCAATAGCGAATGGACGATGATGAGGTTGTTGGACACCGTCTTCTCGAGGATCTTTCGTGTCTGTGTCGTCCCTGTAGCGTGCGACCTTGTAGTACTACTGGAGACGGTGGCATCAGATGGAAGGTCCGACAGCGAAGGGTGGTTCACCAATCTCAGAGTCAACGCGCACCTACTTTAGATGAAGTAACTTGTACGGTTCTGCACCACCTATTTCTCCGAACGTGCCCGCCGCAGCACTACCGAAGAGCCAACGGGAGTTGTCTTGCTCGACCTGCGCACGAGAAGCAACCGGAACCTGGGCTAACGTAAAACAAGTCGACAGCACGATACACGTCGACATACAAGTGGCTACTGGGCCCAAACAAAAGGCCACCTCTAGACACTTGTCGCGCTTTTACGGGTGCACGCAGCGACATGAATCACGGCCATCGTGTGAGCTGGGCTGCCGGTGCCGGTACCGCGCCGCCCCAGTTCAACAACCTCGCCATGAATAACAACGTCGTCAACAACAATAACACTAACAACGGTGCGGTGGTGGATGGTCCCGCCCACCCCGCCGCCGCCGCCGCCGCCGCGGCAGTGGAGAACAACTTTCATCTTGGACCACGCTTCAGCAACTTCAAGGTGGTCGGTAGAGGCTCTTTCGGAGAAGTCTGCTCGGCTTTGGACTCTCAGCAGGTAATCCACGGCCCGTAGGGAGGGATAGGGCTAAGGTTAGGCTCTTCTTCCATGCAACGGAAGGCAAAGGAAGAGAACAATCTGCGGCGTTTTGTTCTTTTTCTGCCCCGCAATCTCGTTTTTTGCGACGCTCGGAACACAATCGATTTGTTGCTCATGGTGCTTTGAAAGTTCGCCTGTGTCCCACCCATCCTATGGCACAACCAGCTGCATGATAATCTCACGGACTTTTGATCTCAACTTGATGCGACCGACGACGATGTCAGGGGAAACGAGTCGCTATCAAGAAGGTCTTCCCCATGTCCCGCGACGTCGTCAGCGCCAAGCACGCTCTGCGCGAGATAAGGCTCATGAGGTGTGTTTTGTGCTCTATAAGGCAACCGCGTCATACTCTAACGAGCACGGCACACTCACGTCTACGGCGCACCAATCGGCGTATCACCACACACAAGATACGCTTGTTTTCAAATGCCATCCTATCCTTTGGCAACCGCTGCTCTATTTTTGGGCACGTCTCTCTGGCATACCCACACCCGCTGCAAATCCAAATCACAGCATCAGAGCCATCTATCCCCGCTTGTTGTTGTTCACAGTGCTTGTATCTGCTTTAATGAAGAGCATCTGATGTAAAGTACACGTGTGGTGCGTACCCTGAGGTGGACTCCTCCTGGTGATGTAAGCGCGAACTTGGTCGCCGCGGATTCGTCAAGCACATTTGAAGAACGAATTCCGAGACGATGGAGCACATCGAAAATACAGTCTAGCACACACACCCACACCCAGTGCAAGGTACCTGTATCGACCTAATACACGGCCATCCCCCATCCAGGTATCTCGAGCCTCACCCGAACATCGTCTCCCTGGAGGACCTGTTGGTCAACCAGCAATACGACGAGCTCTACATCGTCATGGAGCTTTTGGACTGCGACCTCCACTACGTGATCAACAAGTCCAACCAGCCCCTCGATGACGTACACCACCGCTACTTTATGTTCCAGATTCTCAAGGGGGTCAAGGTTAGTCAACGGCTGGTGTTGGTCATTGGGATGGGAGCAAATCGAAATTGTACTTAAGCGCCGCCACATCATTGTCCCGAAGTGCAAATAAACAAGCAGGCATTTCGACAATTAGAAAACCGGTCACAATTATTTTTTTTGTGCAGACTCTTTGTCAGCAAGAACGCCAAGCCCGATCAGACATGTCAAGAGTATTCATCGTTGGTATTGCGACGATTTTGGTTGGGGATCTCTTTGTGTAGGACAAAGGGCACTGGTACCCTAGCCCACTTGTAGAGCGTCGCGTTCGTTCCCACCTCATGATTGCCTCAGGATATTGTATTTGACCTTGTGCTTGGTGTCTGGTCGCGCGGTTCAGCAGTGCTTTCACTATGGACCTTTGTTAAACCGTTACACCTAAGAGCAGCACGGTAGCCGCCGGTTCCCAGGATACCTATTGTAGAGGTGCAAGCCGATGACATCTGACCAGTCTAACGCGTGTGTTGTTTCGGTACGTTAGGGATACATAGCTCACGTCGCACAAACGCGTTTTTCTTTTGTTATCTTTTCATCTTCGCCGTCCACAGTTCCTCCATGACAACCGCGTCATCCACCGTGATCTCAAACCGAGCAATATCCTAGCCACGAAGAGATGCCAGCTGCGGATCACCGACTTCGGGTTGGCGAGGCTGAGGCCCACGGGTGCAGGTCCCGACCCCGACAATGAGGTACTACTGGGCTTTGAGCTACGCAGTTTGTACCATTCAAAATGATTGTTAGGGCGATTTTTTTTTTTACATTCAAAGGACGTTCGTCTTCGCCGACGGTTATCACAGAAAGGATGCGGTCTGAGCACCATGTCTTCCAAGGTTTGAGACCCAAGCCGTGATGATCCATACTTCGAAGTATCCTGGCTTAGTTGAGGCCCACGCTTTGGGTTCGTGATGCATTTAATCGCCTCCACGCGGGGTTTTGCAGAAGAGTACTGCGGTGTATCGCTGCGTTGAATAGCACTTCAACTGGAGTGTAGATGGACCATGTACCGCACTGATGTAGGTCTGTTTCGCTGGATCGAGTTGGCGGAACGCCTGCCTCCCTCACTCCTTACAGCCTCCAAAAGTCTCATCACAAATATCGGGATCGCCGTGACAAGACCGTATCGCACCCCCGAGCCCGACTCCGCCCATGAAGAACAGGACCCTGGCCCTCTATTCTTAACCCAGGTGGACAACCCCATGACCGAGACTGCTGTGACGAGGTGGTACCGCCCGCCCGAGCTGATGCTCTGTCCCGACGGCCTGTACGGCTACGCTGTGGACCTGTGGAGCGTCGGCTGCATATTTGCCGAGATGCTAGGGCGCCAGCCGTTTTTCCCCGGCCAGGTAATCCCATCTTGCAAAGCCTACGCCAAACTTGTACGCCTACCGCGTGATAACTCTAGGATCTTTCCGACCACACCGTTTCTTCGCTAATCCAACAAGTAGAACTGGAATTTCGGTGAAAAATATGTCCAACCCCCTGCTTGTTGCATTACTGTACTAACAGACAATATCTAGTCGAAAATGTCTGGTGGGAAGGCTATCAATGCAACTCGCTCACTAGTACGTCCCCGAAGTTTTTATTTCAACTGCCGCCGTCATCCTTCGTAACATTCTTTCTTCACCTTCTCCGTGTTTCTTTTCAAATGTTGATACTTTCCGTGCTTTTTTTCTCGAAGTTTGTCTGCTCATTTTTTTTGTCAAATTCCCGTCGAGGCAGCTATGTCTTCTTGGGTACCACTGTTCTCGACCCGTCCAGTCGTGTGTTCTGGTCGGCCGTACCTCTACCGAACTGCTGCCCTGCCAAGAGCTCTTGCTTGTCAGATCCTTGCGGCAGATCTTCGACGGCCTCGATTTCTCGCCGCGCCACCCAAAGCGCGTGAAGCGTGAAAAACGTCAAGGTGCAGCTTCGTACAATGGAGCCTATGAACCAGTCGAATTTGGCTACCCCCTCTACCTCACCTCGCAAGGTTTTCTCCCCCTCGATACCGTAAAAAACAAGACGAGAAAGAGGCTAAAACACGGGACGAATACTCCATCCTTCGCCCTCCCCCCCTTATTCCCCCTGTCACAGGATTTCAAGAAACAGCTTTCACTCATTTTCGATGCCGTGGGGTCACCCCAGCCGCACGAGGTGGCTCACATCCGAAATCCCGAGGCAATCCGCTTCTTGGAGTCGATGCAGGGCCGAGTTAAGGTAAGAACGCTGCTACAAGTCCCCGCGAGTTGTGGACGAATCAATGCTGTGACATGAAGCTAGAATACAATCTCACCATGCGGCGACAGTCACTCCTATCGTTTGGAACCCACACCGAAAGAACTTCAGAGTGAAGAAGACTTTTTCTGGACGCCGTCGTAATGATTTCCCTTTTCATAACGGTTTGTCGGATCGAGGGTAGAAAAGGGTCGCGAACAATCACGGGCATGACCCGAAGGAAGAAAAAGGCATCCGAGCATTGGTGACAAGCACTGGGGTTTGTGTTGTTGGCTTCAGCCGAAACGATGCAGGTACGGACATAGCACCGACGTCAGACGCATTCCTCGTGGCGTTCGTTTCGCCAGATCTTTTCCGCTGTACGCTCGTGGCTACCCCACCCATTTTTCTCTCGCCGGTGATGTCTAATCGAGTGCTGACTATTAACTGCCCCAAAAGTACTTTAACGCTCGTTGAAAACATTGCCTCAACTTATTATCCCAGGTACCCTTCGCCGACCTTCTACCGAACGCGTCGGTAGCCTCAGTTGACCTATTGGAAGGGCTACTTGTCTTCGACCCCCCGTGCCGCTTTTCGGCGGACGAAGCCCTCAGCCACCGATACTTCCAACCTCTCAGGTAGAGCTACGACGACCGGTGTCCGCCGTTTAGAACCATGTCTACGTTTCCTTCGAATAGTGTTGTTCCCACGGTGTGCTGCTCAGTCGTGTTCCGGCCATTACTCTCTCTCTCTCTCTCTCTCTCTCTCTCTCTCTCTCTCTCTCTCTCTCTCG